TCAACTGTTCGGTTAACTGAAAGTTTAACCTTTCGGTACACCATGATTAGTCGAAAATTTTTCGGTTATTACGGTTAATCGCAGTCAACCAGCGGTTAATTCCGGTTAACCGACGGTTCTTCATCGTCACTCTCACAACTTCTCTCATCCACTAAGTACCTTATATCTAATTTATTTTATGAATTAATACACAATTAAAATTTATTAATTCATATCTAGAATTGAATCAGCTGTTGGATTAAATCTAAATAGAAAAACAAGTGATTTTAATTTTTAATAAATTGATATTTACACTTGAATCTACTGTTTTTTACCAAATCTAAATAAAAAAGAGTTAGTTTATCCCTTCAAATATCAATTATGACAAGATATGAATACAGGTTCTTTTTTGATGCATATCATAAGAAGACATATTTAAAAATCAAACTACAACTTTATATTAATGCCTTATACCAAAGCAAAAATAGTTGAGTCGATGGATAACTTTCTTATAAACTCAGAGAAGTCACGGAATATTTATATATGTTAACTACAAAAGCTATGTGTATATCGAAAGAAGAGGTCTAAGAAATCTCTTCTATGATAACTGATAAATTTTCGGTATTACGAATAAGTTCGTGATTAATTGTTTTATAAATTTTCATTACTAAAAATAAATGAGCAAAATCGTCGGTTAACCTCAGTTGACTATCGGTGTGGATTTTGGCTGTCGGTTAATCACGGTTAACTGGCGGTTTTCACCAAAAAAAAAGACGACATGGACAGTAATAAAAGTTGAAGGTCACCGATCAATTAACTGCTTAGACAAGAACAAAAACTAAAAGTCATTAACACTTGTCAACAGAAAACCTTCTTTTATGTTTATAATGCATCAGATTATCAAAGTAGCTGATTCGATATAAGAATGTCATTATCATGTCCATGAGTTTACATGTATATACGTAATGATTGCGGATCGATTGTTCATATGTAATTTAATCATTGAAATAATAAAATGAAATATCGAGTTCTACACGATAATTTCGATAGATGCAATAAAAAATCAAAATTTGTTTACCAATCGATAGGACTAGCGAGTAGAGCCTATCAGATTTAAAGTTTTTGGATCTAGACTCGATTAGCAGAAAAATTTCAGACTGGAATCCGATCGGCTCTACTGGTAATCGTCAAATAAAATGAAACGATATTCATCTCGATTAAAACCGATTTTTTGTGAAAAAATGCTTACAAGCACCGAAAATGTGATCGACACAAACGACGAATTACGTAAAAAACTAATTATCTACAAAAATTCTAAAACAATATATAGAAAAGAGTACACAGCGTTAATTGTAATTAAATGTTTTTTTTTAAAATTCTTTCAAGTGATTTCAATACATTTGATAAATTAGTGAGTATTGTATCTCAAGACATTGATAACAGTAATTACTAGATCAGTTTTGTATTGACTCATCACCTTTTTTATAATTCAAAAGGCTTATCTTAAATTGATGAAAACTTCTACAAGGCCTTCAAAAACTATTTGACCAGATTTATTTTCACTGCCATAAACGCGAATATGAAGGACATAAAAATGGTATTTTTATAAGAAATATTAGAAAGAAAAAATAACTTTATTGTTTGTTCTAAATCATTTCGGATAATTCAAATGGAATTCTACTCGCAAATTTTACCAACTGAAAGAATTACTTTTGAGTTTTTCAAAGGCTGCATCCTTCGAAAATTAGTCATCATTTTCATCTTGAAAAAGTCTTATCGAAAATAAAATTCTCTTGTCTAATTATGATTTGGATTCTCATTTGTGTTTACGACAGTAGAAAAACATTCAAAATAAACGTGACTGGATAATTTTGGAGACAATTGTATATTCGAAATATAAAGAATTTAAAAAATAGATAACTATATTTTGTTTTATTATGAAACCTAGCTAGAAAAACAATAAAAACATAATGAACTTAAATAAAGGATACAGATTGATATAAGGAATTAAGATTTATTATCATTGTAATGTAGTGACTCATTGAATTTTTCCTACTGGTTACTATTCATGTATGTTGGAATTTTCCAAGTTTCATTTTCCCTTTCTTAGTATGTGTATTTCCAACTTACATTGGAATTTCTCTAGTCTACTGTTATATATATGTGTGATCGTTTTTGTTATTGTGTTTATTCTTCTTCACCTTCGTCCTCTTTCATATAACTGAGTCACTATCTCTGTTATTTTGTTTTTTGGTTTCTAACGTATATAAATACATTAGAGAAGTTCACCTTAACTTTCGATCTTCTAACATAACTTCCAATGTGTGACAAACATCTTTCTTTGTTCTTACATTCTAATTAAATATCGATAAGATGTGATGGGTGAGTAAAATGAATATTCAAATTGACCACAATTGCACTCATTCATATCTACATCTTGTTCATAGGTATTATCTTGTTGACCATCGACCAGGATTGTTGAAGCCATTCACAACGACTCAAGTTAAACATAGCGACGTTCACATAAGTATGATTGAATACCAGCATAACACACAATGGGAACCAAAGACTTAGTAGATTCATTGATGGTATATACTGAAAGTTTACCACAATGATCCGGATGATTATGAGAAATGAATATCTGCAGTAGTTGAACATTCATATTACCGATTTGTTTTTGAAGAGCAAAAAATTTCAACGAGATCAACATCGATCAATAGGATAGATTCACTATTCAGTCGATGTCATAGGAGAATGCACTACTTGTCTTATTTCAGTAGACTACTGATGCTCCTTTACTGATGCGCAAATAAATGAGGTTGTATGTATAGAGTTACATCAATTTCTAATCACTATAATCGATTATTCATCTCTTTATGATGATTCTATTACAATGTGATGAAATGTTTACCTTACTATTTTTTTCTACTCTCATCGACCACGTGGAGAGATAGAACGCAAAAGGTAATATTGCAAGTTTTTTCATTTGGTTGAAGAATGTTGACTACTACTAGAACAACTAATTTTTCTCTTCCTTGCAAATATCAATGTGCATCCCAATATAAATGCACTACTTCTCTATTTTACTGGGGAAAAAGAATGTGCTTATGCAATAACTATGATGAAGAAATCTCAGTTGGTACTTTCCAACACATGTAGAATGTCAGTTTGTTTTTTTATTTAGTCACTCGTACAGTACGAATAAACGAGCGAGTAGGTAGATAGATATATCACTGCCAATAGTATGCTCACTACTCTTATCGATCATGGTGATCAAACTATATTATACTTTCTTATGAACGAATTTATGCCAAGAGGGAAAAAAGTGCGACTTCACTTGTACTTCAAAATACTGCAGTCGCGCTTTTTCCCCCTTACAGCATCGCCAACAACAATGTTAAATCAATGATATACTCATTCGTTGTGTGACAAATATTCTGAAATAATTACATTGACAATATCCAACATGAATCACTTCCGTTGTTCTACATTGAAAATTATAATATGATCAACATTGATAATTATGCTCGTACTCTTCTCAAACAAGTTCAAGAGACAATACAAATGATGGATCGATTATCGAACCGTAGCCGAATTCATTAATTCGCCTGCATACAGTGGCCACCTTTCCCTAGAAAAATGTGAAATCGGAATAGAGAAAGTCTCTTGTTCGTTTATCATCCGATACAATAGGATATGATTCGAGCTTTACAATTTATTCAAGATCACATTTTGCAAGATGCACAACTTCCGTGCATGTGAATTGCAGTAATGTCAAACTTGAAAGTTGAATTCAAGTATTCAACTATTCAAGTACTCAATTAGTCAACTCCTGGAATGTCACCAGAATCATTTAACACCGACAGGTATTGCCTGGGATGCTTGTAGCATCTTCTATGATACTACAAACAAATCCCTAGGACACAACAGGTTTTGGTTGAGATGTTTCAGATATTATCTGGGATGTTACAAGTATGTAAATGAGAAGCTTGAGCTACTGTGCAGCACCGAGTAGGAATAATGGTTTACACAGAAACGTGCATGGGTCGCGGCTCTTCTGGGAGCGCTTCGCCTCCTCTCCCCACGCTGCGACGCTGAAATAAAGGGTGTGTTAGGGGGAAAAACGCGCTTCCCCACTGAATGTCTGCAGAATACGTGAGAAGTTAAAATTTGAATATTTGAATAGTTGGATACTTGAATACTTGAGTAGTTGAATTCAAATTTCAAGTATTACATACATGACAATATCGCTCTTGATTAAACTTTTTGTCAATCGTCCTTGAACGTATCGTATGCAAATGATTCATTGATTCATTTATTATTGTATTCGTGCTACTCAAATAGTTTGTTTGTCATGACTCGGACGGCAACATACCACTGATTGATTTATTATGGACAATATTGACGCTATTGGTTATCAGTTCTTTTTTTCTTTTCACAATGGAAAAATTGCATACTGGGATTTTTTTGATAGATTGTCATTTCATGAGTAATGTAGTTACTATTAAAGTAAAATTATTCAGTTGTTGGTGAACTAGTCTGACACGAATCGTATGATATGCAAATAGTTGTTAATCGACAGTTGATTTTTTTTTCAATCATTTACATTGATTCGAAATACGTCAATTGAGAATTGAATAATACATTTTTTTTTTGTGTAAGACCTTCAAAAAGAAATGTTAATTAAGTATATTGAGTGTAACTTGATGAGGTATTTCAGTAGATAACTACTATCAATCAGGAAACTACTGAAATACAAATACAGGTGCATATTTTTCGTAATACTGACGTAGAGCGCATTTATGAGTCAGACGTACAAGCTCTTTTTATCTTGAAAGGAAGTGGAAAAAAATGTGATCAACAATAGCAACCTTGATTTTTTTTTCTTTCTTTCTTTCACTACTGTAAAAGTGCAGTTTTATCAATGTGTATATATATATATGTTGAAGAAAGAGTTGAAAAGTAGTAGAAAGAAATATTTTTAAAACGAAAAAAAAAAAATCCTCCTTTGTAGATTGAAAATGGTGTCTAGAGACGACATAATCACCTATGGTTCGTCTACTATTATAGGAAAAAATATCAATATTCGTCTGATTGATTTTCCATTGATTCATCCACGAGCATCAAATCTTATCAAGGCTCAATACATGTAGTATCGATTTTTTTTTCTCGAAAAGTATCTATTTTTTGTCAATTTATTTAGAAAATTTCGTGATCAATTGACTAAAATGATATTGACCAATGTTGCACATAGACGAGAACAAGATCAACGTGAGTAATATATAGTAGTTTTCATTCAAAATAATCGATGAACTATTTTTTTTTGTAGGTTTTACTTATATTTTGGAAATTATTTGGAGTGATATTATTGATGATGTTGTTGAGTTTAATAATAACTTTCCTGAAAGTGTTAGTCTTTTGATCGACTTTTTTTTCGTTGAAGCAATGAAATATTATCATTTTAGGATGGAATTCCAATGATATTTATCTGTTTGGATAATGATCTCTTACTAGAACAAGAAAACCTATTGAGACGTCGATATTTCGAAAGTTTTCTATTTCATTTATATAATACATCAATCGAAGAACTCAATACGATGACTATCTATCATTTTCATAGTCATCAATCCAGTGAAATCACACGTTATAATTCGATACAGTTCGAATGGAACTTTGGTACATTCATTGAACGATTGATTTCTTCTCGAAATTCATCATTACCTTTCTATCCTTTACTTCTACATGTAAATAGCATAAGTAGTGGCTTAGTATTTAATTATTACTATTCTTATCTCAATCGTCAAGTTGGTTCTAGTACGTAGGAAATAAATCTTTTAGATTCTATTTTGTTTATTTTTAAATTTTTAGCAAATAGTATCTTTCTTGATTTGACTTTCAATGCTATAATTTCGAAAGAAAATCTTCCACAAACACTTATCATTGTCTTGCATACATTGATTGAAAGTGTCTTTCTGCATAAGAATCCATCTAGTGTGATGACAAACCATCTTGATCTAATACAATCAAATCCTTTGCAATTGAATTTGGACGTGGACAGCTACAAGATTATCGATAATTGGGGAACACATGTGATATTTTGCATTCATGGTGTTAGTGATTTTGGTTATAGAGTACAGAAAGTTTATATTTGGCAAAAAAATTTGCCTCTCGATACTCTCATATATATTCGACTTAGAGATGATGTACGAAAATGGAATATCGAATATGAACCATGTTCTTCGGGTGGTAATGATGAAATTGATGAATCATCATTAGCTACTTTTCATATTCGAATTAGACCGAATAGAAAATGTTTTATCTTTTCTATGACACGTGCACCAACTATATCAGATCGATACGGAGGTAAGTGATTTTTTGTTTTCAATTCTAAAATCAATTCTTCGTCACGGTTTTAGGCGTCAGTACAATGAAGAAAACCAGCAAAGATTCATATCATCGATATATTATTGATCCAGCTAATCGTCAGAGTGCTAACCAACAACGAATCAAAGAAATTCGTATTGCACCAGTCTACTATTTACTGGCAAAATCCTCGTGTGATTGTGGACAAGCTAATATTGGTGGATGTCAAGAAAATCAAGAAACTTTCTTAGAAGGTACAATTCGAGATCCAGTTGAACCCAATCGAATTAAATTGGCTTATGTTCATAAGTAATACAATCAATTTCTTCTTCGTTCACGATCATTTCCTTTTTCTTTTGATTTCAGTAAAGTCCTTCGATCACCTAAAATGATACATTACAATCGATATCTACGTCGAACATATTACTATATAGATGTAATAGATGAGAATGGAGAAATCATTCGAGTAATATATATATATATATATATTTCGATTGAGAATAACGAATGAAATAAGTTTTTCTGTCATCTAGTATCTCTTCTGTGCAGAATATCCATACATTATGTCAATTCTTGATCAACTCTATCAAATGGGTCAGATTAGTCGAGCACAAAAACGTGATGAATATGTACGTTTCTGTAATATACTTCAACGATTGATCGAACTTGATTCATGGCCTGAATCGATTCGATTGATTCAATTTGACGATGATCAATATCGATCGACGAATGAATTTAATGATTGTCTATCAAACGCAATGGGTTGTATGTAGAATTTTCTCTTTTTTTATGCGTTCAGATCGAGAAAAAAAATAAATTTTAGATGCTGATGTCAAATCATTTTGGTTACAAATTACGGAAGATATCGATGAATATTATGAACCATCACCGACAATAGCAGCATCTATTGATGTGAGCCGAATTCGAATATGCTCAATTCTTCGAAGAGAACAATTGTTGTTTTTTTTTCATTTAGATCAACACAAAGATAATTCCTAATGAACAAAACAAACGTATAGCCTTGTTTTTTACTGAAAGAGCACAAGAAGATCCATCGATTAGAACTTTGATCACGTAGATCTTACAAAAATTTATTAGCATAATCAAGAACCTTAACTGTTCATTTAATTTTTTAGAGACCTGAAAGAAAAATTACAACAACAGGATTATCTCGTCGAGTCGGCCAATACTCATCAAAAGATTGAACAGAGTATTTTCATTTGTACAGGTCGACAAAACGATGAAGACAATCGTCAAATGATGCGTATTGCACAACATAATATCATACAAGTAAAATGATCGTCTCATTTGTAGATGAATCAAAACATTGATATTGTCGTTACAATTGTAGCGTGATACTATGCGTGATGTTTTCATTCTTGTTAATGAAGCTATTGAACAGTTTCCATGCCAATTCATTCGTTCGATCCCTTATCTAACCGTAGATCTTCATCATCGAACACCACAATGGAATGAGAATGAAATTCATGAAGTAATTAGTTATCTCAATAAGATGAATGTACTATCGAAAGATTATACTGATCCATCTGAAAATCGAATTGAATTATTCGATCAAGAATTATCTATCGTAGGTATTCTTTTTTTTTTGATTGGTCAACATATCACTCTGAAACTTTTTTTTATCTAGCAATGTACTAGTGTCGGATTAGGTTGTGCTGCAGCTTTCTATTTTAACTATGCTAAATTGATTACTTCGACAAATGGTATGATGATCAAAATGATTTGATATCACTCGACTTGACTTTCTTTTTTTTGCAGATCATCAATATCGATTGGATATGATCGAAATGGAATTGAACAAGGAACATAATCAGAATCAAATGACTTTCATTCGAAAATGGATTTTTATTCTTCCGTGGACTATTGAAAATTCTACACAGTTGATTCCAAGTATTCTCAAATTGACAGAAGAAGAACAAAGAATGATTGGATTCAAATTGACTGCATGGAAACCGATGTTTGTATCTGCAACTATCATGAAATTGTATTAGTCTATCTTTTTCGTTATAGCGATACGAATTTCTCTCATCTACAATTGACAATAACTGTCGGTGGTGTCTTTCAACGTTCGTATAGTACATTAATGATTTATCAGTTGACATGTTTGGCTGATGGCAAAGTAAAATAATTGTTTGAATGTTAACGAATAAACTTTTGTTTCGTGTTAGACTATTTATTTTCCCATGGAAATACCAGCTGCTTTGAATGGTCTACAAAATCAATATCAATGCATACTGTCACATTTCAATTTTGGATGTTTTGATCCAGTAGAACAAGCTCGAATCTTTCGAGAACAAGTTTTCGATTATCAGTTGAGAGATTTTCAAGCCAAATGTCATAAGCATATTATTTTAATTCCCTTGAATGAATTTACTGAGAATCATGTCAGAACAGCTAAAATATTACTTCCAACTCTTTGGACTCAACTGACTTTACCAATTGCACACGATAGCACGCAGTAGAATTTATTTTTTCGACTCATTGAAATTACGTTGTCTGATAGACTGATCAATGTTAAATGATAATCACTATCTTCAGATTTCCAATCCGATATTGAATTTTCGGTTACAGATACCTATTCAAGATTTATTCGGTCAATAATAGACAATGTAACAATGGATGCAGTCATCGATGTGAATCTTCTAGAAGAAAAAACCATTTTCATTTGCACGAAACATATATAATCAGATACAGCGAGCGGATGATTACATCCACAACGACTAATATGAAACACCCACTATTTTCTTTGACGAATCAACTAAAAACATGTCTGGCTCCGTCCGTCGATTACTTGGATTGAATGAAGCTACATCATTTTATTTTTATCTAATAGAAGAGAATTTTTCCATCATACAATGATCCAAAAATTAGTCATTTCAACAAGTTCATCGACAATCAAATTCAATTACAACACAAAAAAGATCATTCATTGAGTCGTAGTTTATTCAATAAACTAAATCAATGTCAATTGCTATTCATCATGGAATTCGATCATGAACAGTTGATTATAAGAGAAATATCTACAATGACTGATTTAAATATTTGAATATATAAAGGATGTTCCTTAAAATAAATTGACCATAAACACATTGCATATCGTTACTATGTTTCTATCCAATGAACTGATCATTTGATCGAACATTTAGATTCTAGTTATTCATCGATTGACAAACCAATGGCAGTTAGGAAGCTGCGGGTTCTTCCAGACCTAGACTCGATCCGGACCCGGCCGAGTCCAAAGTGTTATTTTTTTTTTGTTAGGTCCGATTACACGTTGTTTGTGGACCCGCTTCTCCCCAGATGAGAAATCCAGCAACAAGATATAACTGTATGTTGAGTTTTTTTCTGAGAGTAGCGAATAAATAGCTGAAATCTTAATCCTTCACTTATTCATGTACACGAAGGGTGTCAGGTATTGATGGAAAAACCTCGGATTTGGATCCGACCGGGTCCGAGTCCAAATTTTAAACTCTGTTAGGGTGCAGGTCCACAAAAACGTGGACCCACAGCTCCCTAATGGCAATCGAAGAAGAGCAAGTTTATGTTTCGCCAATATCATTTCAAACATTGACCGCATTTATCCGAGCCCGAACTAAAATCCAGATGATGGAATGTACATAAGTTTGTGTACCTATTGAGCAATCTTAGATGACACGTGAGTGATAGGTAAAACAATCTTTTCGTTTTCAACTGACTTCTATGCGAAAATTGTTTGATTTGAAAAAATATCAATTAATTCAGATAGAATTGAAAGAAATAGAATGCGACAGCATTCGATTTCGAAAAACTCGGAATAGCTTGTCGCCAAAGGTGGTGATGCTGAACACAAGCTGTGTCAAATAGAACCGCTTCACAAAATAACTGTCATTAAAAAAACAACAGTTCTCAGATTTTCGCGAAGCGAAGCCCATGTCGTTCAAACTGCTCGAAAATCGGCGATCAACTGCGGTTCTCCTATATAATTTCTTTTTGTATCACACCGTATGAATATTTTTTAACGCTTACAAAATTGTTAGATTTTAGTAGAAATTGTGTTCTCTTCTAAATGACAGCACGTTGAATTTGCCGGTACCAGTCATACCAGTTAAATTCACTTAGTTTTCGAGTTTTTTTTGTTAATTAAAGATGCCGCCATAAATATAGATATTCATTAGATGACTTAATCAGTAGAAAAATTAGTGACACCATATGATATAAATTATTGTGGCGCATTAATATGAACTTTTTTTGACTTGCAATCGATTTTTTCAAGATTGAAAATAATAATTTAGCAGTGAAATTTAAAAAAAAATGAGAAAAAAAATGAGAAAACCATTCGAACCGGCAGTTTTAATGAAAAATCAACGACATGGGAGCTGTTTTGTGTTTTAAATATAATGCAAAAGCTCCTATCAGCCAGTAATATTCACTTGGCAAGTTTTGATTTCGAAAGAGATAGGAGAATGAATGGCGCACAACCAAGATCGGACAAATATCTTCTAAATAGAATTAATACAAAAAGAAATCTTAACAAAAGAATCAATTCAAAATAGAATTCGTCAAGTTTGTATTGATCCCAAACTATTCATACAATATTTCCTATTGAACAATATCAATTTAATGCTAATAGAAAAAAATAACATTTCAAGAGAACTATTCGAAGGAAATAATTTCATTTCTTGAGAGAGTTGTAGGAGAAAACTTGACCAAAATAGAAAAATACATAGAATAATTTGCACAATGAACTACGAAAAAAATAAGGAACATGACAAAAAAAAATTGTCGAATTTTTCTGTAGTTGTTACATCAATTTTTAATACCAGTGAATATTCATGAACTACGCACATTCAATGGTATGCAAACGAGATTATATTCACATAGCCAGTGTATAACAATAGTTGGAAGGAAAATTAAATCGATGCTAATCTATTCCACGATAAAGGTGTAGGTGTGGGTGAAAAGGAGAAGCACACCCAGAACCAACACGACACCTAATCTAATTCCCACATCATCATAAACTCTATTCTCATTCTGACCTGCTTACCCACCGCCTCAGCCTACCCCTTCACACTTGGATGGATGTGACTGTTTATATTCTCCTCTCCTACATTCACACGTCACACCGACATCCACATTCAACTTCATGTTGTATCTCAGAATAAGTTCGTGAGTAATGTTTAATTCTTCGTTCGTAACATGAAGTATAGGTAAGCGTCAATAATTATATGTGCAGCTACTTTCTTCGTATAAACAATATGTGATGAAAACTATGTGCTGACGTTTGTGATTAAATCAGAAATAAAACTATAGGATAGTCTCGTCTTCATATGATATATGCCTATACTATATTCGATGCACATCGATTCCATAAATGAACTCCTCTTTGTGTATTGGAGTTATTAGCGAGTTCTCGAAAAGAGCAAATGATCTTTCGCTATTTTATTAAGTAAAAGAAAATGCAAGTGACAATCATGAAGGATTATGCCAAGTATCTATGTCTTAATTGTTGTTTATATTCATTGTATGGAACACAAAATACATAGTGCTGTAAAACGTAAGAGTAAGAATAGTATTGAGGCATATAGTTTGTCTTGCATCGCTTTTTAATAGGTCTCTGTATTAAAGAATGACGAATAAGGCATGAAGAAGACCAGGTATAAAGCCGAGAATGGTCAGAATTATATTGAGAAGGACTCTGCTGTTGCAAGTGTTCTGATGTAGATAGACAGCTAATGGTGGAATGAAGATGGCAATAATACACAATACTAAACGACTAGCCATTTTTGTTTTTGAATAATGTAAATGTGATAAATTGTTAGAGAGTAGGAGGATTACTGCTGAAATGAAAATGTAGAAACGAATGAATTGTACGACGAGTTCTGTCTTTTAGTTGAGTTTCATTTTTTTTTCTCTTTCTCTTTCTCTGCCTTTCAAAATGGCATCATCATGAGACTTCATGAACAAACAAAGTGGACACTCAAAAGAAAGTAACATCAACATTGAAATATATAGTAAATAAAAATGCACTTTGTCACATTATAATAAGTAGCGTCTTTATGAAACAATTCTCTGTTCACACAACCCACCTACGCATATGAAATACAACATTCTCTTCTTGTTTGTTCTCGACACGGCTTCAATGATAAATGAATTCTTGCAGCTAACAAATGTAGATTATTTTTTTCTTTTACTATATCAAATATCTATCCAAAACAGTGCTTTTGTTCTATTTTATCAATAAAATTGTTTAATTGGAACATGGTTCTAGCCGTAAGGTTGTCGCATTCCTATTCAGTTCGAACATAATTTAACATAGTAAGCTCAGCGAAATCTTGAAAGAACGATGTAAAAGATTTTCTTTTCGAGCTTATTATTGACCTCAAATGCGAACTTTTAAAACCATTCTCATTCATGATCAAATCACATATTTGCATGAAAATGACAAATAAAATACAAGAACATAATGCGTTTTGCAAACCGAAATGTTTGAAAGCAATGCAATTTGTATGGAACACTAAATAAACAATCTGTAAAAGTGAAGTCTTGTTCTGCATTCACTCGTGAAATGAATTCGTGAAGGTAGATTCAACAAACCAATTTTCTGGACAGAATTGGAGCATGCAAAATAGAAATCATTTCTTTCTTTGCATACAACTCCGATGAAGTTAAAATGAGTCTTTCATTTTGTATCATTTAACTGATGTCATGAGTAACACAAAAAGAATAAGTCTCGTAATATGTTTGACTTCTCTTTGTCGTGTTTCGATGGATCGCAATATTCTTCTTTTAGAAGATGCGTCGTTTGATTCTCTACAAAACACATAGCTAAGGCCTCCCGAAAGAAATCAATGGAAAGCCATGTACTCTCAGTATTACAATAGTTCTAAAATGTGTAGTTTCAAACGCCGTATTTTTACAAAAATAATCATTTCTCTTGTTCTGCATCAGTAGATGTCAGACAATTCTTAAAGCAAGTTTCCTATGTTTTCAGGTCTACTCTTTTTAGTAGAGCTCAAAAGACGATTCACAAAAAAGTGAATAAGATTCAAATAGCCGATTTTCTTGAAAAATGAGTTGGAGCTAGTGAATATGTTCATTAGTCATGTCATACCCCACAGACTAAGAGTGATAGAACAGTTCGTTCGTCTAGAAATGATAAAGATTACATTTCATTTCAATTTAGTAATAAATCTGAATATGTATTAAGACACATTTTGATCAAATGATTCGACAAAAATTCAGATAACTTCGAGCGATCGAATTAGAGATATTTTCATGAATTCCGATAACTTTTGCGAAACACGATGTGGAATGAACGTTGAAGTTAATTGCAAGAAAAGTTATACCTCACCCCCTTTCTCCAGCTGCATCACCGAACGTGAAAGAGAGACAGATAGACAGACAGACAGACAGAATCTATAGACTTTTCTAGATTCACAAATCTTGACAGTCATTTCGACATGTTAGTCTGCCACATCCTAGT